TGTTCAATTATCAACAAATTTTAAGGTCTTCGGTTTTGCCTTTAATAAGTGCATGATTTCTAGAGCTTTATCTCAGATCGAAGTTGAGCTGAATGGCTGTGGTATAGCAAATGCGTAGGGGTCACACTTCTCTCATGGTAGCTAGCACGTGTCTGTTCAGGCCAGGAATAAGTCGGGCTCGAATGTTTGTTCACTCGTGAAGATTGAGAGCGGAGCTCTTCTAGAATATCCATCCACGTTCATCTCATTCAAGCTTGTCAGAGATAAGAGAAATGAGATAGGAAATCTGTAAACAATGGAAGCTAAATGAAAGCCTCAACTAGCTTTGCATGGCAGCATGAAGTTCTCCCATTCGGGAACAAATACGGTCAACGCATTTGTGGAGCCGTTCGGCTTTGTTTGATGCCTTTCATAAACCAGCTCCACAGAAAATTTCCAGAATTTGTTCATGTCATTCGGTTTTGGACTGCGTCATTGATTTAATCAATGAAATGATTTAGCAAAGTTGAATACTTATATCATTATCTTCCTGTTTCGTTGTAGTTTAGTCCACCTTGTGTTTTGACATTGTCAAATGCCACTATTTTACATCTCTTGATGCATTACTAAAAAATAAGCTAACGACCAGTAATCAACCTACAGTTTCGATGGAACCAAATTCAGTGGTTCAACATCTGTTTTCCATTCTTCAGTGGTGAGTATCAATAGAATAGCTTCAGCTTTTTCTTGCCAAACCATTTGCCAGAAATGTTTTACAGTGTTTGCAAGTGGTACTTGTGTTATTATCATCTGCAATCATTCGGCTTTTTTCAGTGCCGTGCATGTTTCTAAAAAATTGCAACATGGATTCGAAGCTGGCGTTCCGCACTTTCGTCGAACACAACCTAATCGGAATGGGAAAATAAAAGCAATGTTTGCTAAAATTAAATGAAAGGATTCCAATGCATTTGCTCAAATTACTTTCATAGGATTTGGTTTCGAAAGAGCCTCATGTAAACGTCAAGTGAACTTACTTCGTGTTGTGAGTCTCCAATTGGTACACGACTCGCATGAATGAAATCCGAGCCATCTGGACAGTTTTTTAGAACCACGCGGGTTTGATCAATGCATATCACGTCTGAAATTGCATTATCCTTTCCAATATACTTGTGTTTTGATAGTAAGATACAACTTATTGCATGCCATGCCATCTATGAGAAATTCGTGCGACGTGTTGTTTTTTGCAACAAACTTATCATGTTCACGTATGGATAAGATGATGTGTGTGAATGCGTTGGCTCGAATGGACTGAGCAGTAGTGTAAATTAAATTTTGAGAGGAGTAAATGACGGGGTCAGGTGAGTGATGAGCGCACCTGGATACCGAACACGATCTTGGTTTGCGTCGAACGACGTTCTCGTGGCTGTTGTCGGTATATAGTCTTTGCACCTCATGAAAGCCTCACGAATTCCATTTTGTCCCGCTTCCGAAAGAGTGCGCACGAACGATCTGATCTTTTGCACTTGATTCGTACCTTCAATTGATCCTGCTAAACTGCAGACTAGTGTTTCATTCCTTGATGAAACCATTATGCGAAAATCTCATTTGTAAATCTCTCTTGTAATCCTGAGCAGGTTCGAAGGCTGAGCCACCATTGATGATATTGTATCCGCAATGTGTTGATAATGAAAGATTGGTCGTCGCATGAGGGCAACAAGAGCGTCTCGTTTTTAGTCTTGTCAATTAGAATGCAATGTTGAAGAGCAGCGAAGTTTACTTAGTTTCGTGGCTTACGTTTTTCATCCACTTCCGTTTGTGCTGCTGTGATATTCGATGCTTTACTTTCAAAGTCACCAATCAAACGAATCAGACTCTTCTGCAAAAATAATTTATTCAGCACCCGAGTTTCGAAGCCAGTTGATTTCACCACGGAAGAATATTTAGTTTATCATGACTTCACTCAAATCTTTCAGTTCACTTGAGTGCGAACTTTCCAAAATGTATCTGTTTTCTCAATTCTCTCTTGACGTAGCATTTAAACAAACTCCTAAATGCGCTAGCAATGAGCCATTTACATACGTATTTATTTTGGGACTAAAAATCCATTCCACTAACGTTAACAACATCTTCTGAAGGCTGCACTCCACGCTTAACATTGTCATCGTCAGAAAAGTTACGATTCTGAGGCTGATTATCGGGTTCGCCTAAAACTGATATAATTGAAAAGAAATGAATAAGAAAAGAGGAGTGGACTAAGTAAAAAATCATTCTTATATTCTTCAACTTCATCTGTCCTTGCTCACTTGATTCAGAAGCTTTCACGAGATTTCTAAATTAATTCAGAAGAAATTGTCACGTTCAGAGCATCTATATGTGAGCGACTTGTTCGCAAATTTCAATGATTATAATGTCGATCAACATAACAGATACGAAGATACTTTCTTTTGTGGATATACTTCTCTGTCCTGGAAGGAGTACAGCCACGAATGATGTTTATCGTACGCTGAAGCCAGGTCTAATAATGCAAATGTCATTCCCAGTTTTATGCTTATCGAATGGTTGGTCCCCTATTGTTTATCCTGATGTTATTTAGCGAAACGAGTACACAAGCAATCTCATTGTCAGCTAGCTTTTCACTCATTGACGAAAACATCGAATGCAGTCAACGTCTACAACAAAACAAATTCTCACCTGTCCGCATCATCATTGGTTTTGCATCACCACCTTCTTTGCATTCATTTGTCGGTGGAAGAGCGCCTTCCTGGGATGCCAAATCAGGTTTTGGTACCAACTGAGCATCGCCTCGTCCAACTTCCTTGTCTGCTGGCACCGAAGACGCAAGAAGTGTTCCTGTTGGTGTAATATCCGTCGCTGGCGATACCGGCAATTGTTGGTTTTGAGCTGAACCGGCTGTGAGTTGTGGTTTTTCAAAGGCACCTGCCTCATTCTTGACGTTATCACCTGCAGTTTCTGGTGGAACAGGTGCTTCAGCTGGCCGCTTGTCTTCATTCAATTCTGTTTCACTTTTCTTGTTCGCCTTGTTTAAAGCATTTATGCTTGGTACCGCTACTTCCTTTTCAGCTTTATCGCGTTTCCCTATAACAACCTGCTTAATTAAAACGGTTATGAACATAAGCAATTTGTTGCTAACATCTGCAGATGACTACACTGAATCTGTTCGATAAATGGCAATTGATTTCAACTGGACATTTTTGGTTACATTTGTGACGTTGTTTTTAAAGCAGTGCACTTATCGGACAGAAAAATTTCTGAGAAGGACACTTACTGGGCGATTGCAATTGCAACATCGATGCTATGCTGAAGTTCTTTGAAATGCTGAAGATCCGCTTTTGAAAAAGTTACCTTGCGATTACGTTGCGCAAGGGTTTGTAAAAGTATGAAATAAAAATACTTCGTTTTCATACTTCATCAGTACTATAAAATCGCATGGCACATTTGCGAAAGCGCCAAATTCAGTGTTAAATTATCAACGTCAACCTTGTTTATTTCGTCCGTTATTTGTCTTTTTTTGAGCATCTGAAGTTTTCCTATGTTTTCGCTTCTTGTGTTGTCCATCGTTGATGAGACCCGTATCGACGGGCTCTGCCGCATAATCCTCATTTGCTCTTTGTTTTCTATGGTGCTTATGAACTTTCTTGTGCTCACCAAAAAGATCAGTCACTTTTTTAACTGGTTTCTTAGTGGTACCACATATTCCAAGCCATTTTTTCTTTTCATCGTTTCGAGTTTCGTTCAATCCATCTGGAATAAACCCATAACAGTTTCTCGATAAGATCCGGCTATCAAATGATGAACGCTTTTTTTCTCACTTATGCAAATGTTAAAAAAGAGCACGTCAAAGCTGTAGCAGAAATTGTCCAGCAATGGAGTCATCATTCAGAACATTAAGACACTGCAACGAGTGAATCGTTTCAGCGATTTTATGTGTGCTGTGTATTTATCCATTTAGCAAAACATTACTAAACAATGAAATTACCATGGGTATGATGATGTTTGCCATGCTTTTTTTTATGTCCTTTCTTCTTCAATTTCTGCGTCTTTTTCGGTTTCGATTCAATTACTTTTTCGTCCATCTGAGGTTCGCTTTATCTGCATTGCCATCCTTATCGCATTCGAAATTGCATAAGCAAGAAACAATTAATTTGAAATGCAGTGAAATTTCCATTGAAATGTTTACCACATTTCAAATGTTGATAGCTAGACGAGGATAATATTTCTTCACTTAAGTGCATTACACTCATTTGAATGGCGCCAGCATTTTCATTATGCGCTTTAAATTTTAAGTGTATCTGAAGTGTAGCGCATTAGAAAGATCTGAGTGTTCTGCATCCGGCGATATTTTGCAGCATATTCCATCGAGCATCTAAACTAACGCCTTGATCCAATCTTTCAAATACACCTGAACCGCATACACCAACTCATCAAAACAGCTTAAGCGAATAAATCTTCGTTCCTGTGGTCACCTACCTAAACAAGCGACCGACCGTCTACAGTGCCCAGGTTAATAGAATTGCAAACGCTTCAACTTTAAATCGAATAGCTGACTGGAATTTTGAATAATGCCCCATAATGCGGTATTCATTTCTGAATAATTGGACTTTTT